ATTTTTTTTTAACATGTATTGTTATGGGAAAACGCGTTTCACATAACGAACTTTTCGCATAACGAACTTGCTCCTGGAACGAATTAAGTTCGTTGTGTGAGGCACCACTGTATATATATTACGAAAAAAGTATAGAATCGGTGAATGTACACATTTACCAGATAGGTAGGTAAATCTAAGTTTAAATCTGAGATCAGCTTCATATATTTACCTTCACTGGTAAATGTATACATTTTCCAACGTATATAGGTTAATAATAAATATGATACACTTTTATATTAAAGTTAAAATGTGATTGTAATAATATATACTATTATTTTATTTTAACTTTTATTTAAACATTATTTTATAACAGTAATATATTATGTATTGCAATAACTTTGCAGGACTCTGAATTGCACAAAACTTTAGCTATTGGCAAATTACATATTTTATTTTGTAGTTCCATCCTTCTTAAAACCTTGTTCTCCAGTTAATGATGTAAGACGAACTTAGATTTACCAACCAAATCGGTAAATGTGTACATTTACCGAACTACGTAACATATTACTATGAAATACATACATATAACTTATAACACTAATCTGTAACAAATGACAATGGACCTAATAAAATATATTTTATTTATTAAAATTATATTATAAAATGTTGATAGTTCGATAATGGTTATCAACTATTGTCCTGTATTCAGGAAGAGTATTGCAGTTCACCTAATAATATTTTTTATAATATTGACGGCGAAGTAATGTAGCTTTTAAATCTTATAGATTAGTTGGTAACAGTATACAACAATTACAATATTTAGATAAAATTAAAAATAAATTGCGTGACTAGTTGTTTTCACTATTTTCAATAAGATTTAATACTTCTGATTGCTTAGAATCCATGAACTCAGTTAATTCTTGATCGTGAATAGAAATATTATTACCAAGGACGCGTAAAAACTCATCCTTTTGATCGCTGCATCTATTAAAACCAAATGCATGATATTCCAATGGATTCAACCTCTCGAAAAGATCTGGTCCGGATACTTCCTTATTGAAAACATCGAATGGGATCCCTTTTACAAAAGATTTCCCTTCATAATCCGGTATACTTCTGAAGTGTGGTACTGCCTGATGGTAAATAGATTTATTCTCATTTCTGGCTATTCTTAGATTCTCTTCAATTACTTCATGGGCGAACGCTATGGTTTTTTTGATTGGATCTTGGTAAGAACTTAAAACTTTTTCAACTTTTTTTCTGGCTTCCTCTAGGTAATCTAAAGCATGTTCATATATAGCCACCCTAAGGCCCATTTGCTGTAGAATTTCTGCATACTTCCCATGATAAAAGAGTGAAAAACTGCTGTGATAAAATAATTTGAATTCGAGATATTTAATTAGGTACATAGTATAATCGTCAATAACAATTTCTTCTTCAGATTCACCTTCACTGTCATAGTCATTATAGTACCCAGTCAATGCATCAGAGTAATATTCAATTATCTGTAGAGACAATACAAAAGGGATGTGAGGTCTTCTCTTTTCCTTTACAACTTCTTCCAGAATGCATTCCTGTGCTTGGGCTTTACAAATATATTGCATAGCTAAAATCTGATAATGAGTTGTAATGAAAGGTGTAAACCTGTTAAAATACTGTTCGACTTCTTCGAAAACCCAAGCTGCACATCGAAAATGTGTGAAAGCCATCCTATATCCATTAGGACTATTCTTACAATCGTTAGCTCCCAACGTTGCATGCATTGATCCTATATTTATCAGAATACACATCAATTCAAAATATATATCTTGGACCGTTGCAGTCATTTTGGTGTTTTCATCCTTCCTAAAATAATATTTATTGATAATAACATAATTTGTTTTAAAACTTTTGATAGTACCATGAAAATTTAACAGCTCCAGCTTCACCCTCTTCCATACAGAATCGATTCTTCAAGAAATTCATTTGGCAGTAATACTTCTTAAGAAGTTGACAACTTGTTATGTCGACAGAAGGTGATAAAGCTTTCTCTCGCAACATTAACAATTCATGTATTTCATTACTATAACTTTCTGGGTCCTCCACAAATTCGTTTAATATATGCTGCAATTAAATAAATTATTATGTTTTCTTTTATTTATTTGTTTCCTATTCAATCTAACCGCCTTCAAGGTTGGTTCAAGTAAGCATTTCTCTGAGGTGAGCAGATCAAAGCCCAACATCGGTGGTCTAGGTATGTCTTCCATTATTTATTGTTCTTTAAATAATTTGTTTACTTATAAACAACAAAGTTGTCTATATAAACAATGTACAACTCAATTTTGAACACAAATGAATTAGAGATCTGTCGTAATTATAACAGGTAACCGATTTATCCGTTCAGAGAGAAATTAACACAATTACTTTGACGTAAAAAGTCACAGGAATCCCACTTGTCTTGACACATCTAATCACATCTAATTGTTGATTTACAAACTGTCACAAAAATAGAAATGGTGGAGAGGGCTGTAAATAACAATTGATGATAATACGCATTGCAGTACTGCCAACTGTTTAGAGATCACGTAGGCAAGAAAAAAAAAACACAAATTTAATCTATTATATACAGGGTGTACATTTTTCACTTTTATTCTCACTCTGCATTATTCAAATACAAAACATTTTTATCGTAAAAATATATTAGTTTTTCAGCATTACAGATTTCATGTATTGAAAATTTATTTATATAATTGTATTGAAATTTATTACATTTATTATACAAATTATAGAAATAATTTAAAAAATAAAAATAATAATTTTCAATTTTATTGTTTATAAATATATAAATTGTAATTTGAACATTGTTAATTAGTGTGTGATTATCTAGTATTCTCATAAGTATTAGTGATCCAGACATATTGTCAAGGTCCATCAAATATGTCAACCATTGTTCCACATATTGATATTGATTACTACCTTTAAGAGAAATATTCACAGAGATACGCAATTAATGCATTTTCAAATATTCTTAAATAGGATTACGTATTTTTATTACTTCAATATTTAATAATAAGCAGGCTAAATTTATTAATTGATAATATATGATTTTTTTTTAATAAAAAACAAATATTATTTTGATTCTAATAATAATATTTATTGCAACAAACCATAATACAAACTTAACAAAATAAGATAAATTTAAATTGAATTGTTGCAATTCTATTACTTCATTTATTTATTAATTATTAATAATAAGATTATTTAAATCTGTTAGACATATTCGATTAGAGTAATAACTATGAAGTATGTTAATGTCGACGTTCCTTTTCGAATTCTATAAAAAACAAGATGGTGGCGCAAAAGTAATGTCATAATTTGAATTGGCTTCCATTTTGTTATAAATGAAAAAAGAGCTCTGTTTTCATCAAAAGTTTATTTGTCAATAAATACACGTTCTTGACACACCTCAATCCTCAATCGCTCCATGGCTTGTTGACAACTAATTCACTATGTATCAAATGTCAAAGCAAAGTGACATTTGGGGACATCTACAAAAATGGCAGCCATTTCAAATTATGTCATTACTTTTGCGCCATCTTGTGTATGTATATATTCATATATAGATGGTTTAAATGTTTTTTTGTAAATACTGTAAATTTAACATGATATGTTAAACTATGAATTCTACTATAAGACGCACCCTAAATATAAAAGACGTTTTTAGAAACAAATATATAAAAGACGCACACAAATTTTAAGTTTATTGGATTTTAAGAATATGGAAAATTAATTTATAATAATTATTTTCTTTATAGTAAAAATGTAGGAAATATTATCCGATTCGATTTTGTTAGAATATCATCATATAATAAATAGATTGAACTATAGTTCAAATTAACATTTTCGTAATTTTTATTTGTTAAATTAAAGCATATTAGATACAGAGATTCTAGTCCAAAACGCTGAGGAAAATTACTAATGGTTCTTCACAAACGATGACATCCACAAGCAAGCTAACATCAGTTTGGTGAAGGAAGAAATAGCAAAGGCTAGCACAAGAGACCATCATCGGCTGGAGAATCACCCAAACCAACTGGTTGATGCATACTGCAGATCATCGTCGAAGACTGAAGAGGTTTAAACCACAAGACTTACCCAACCGATTTTAATAATTAAATGTTTGCAAGTGCATAAATAATTATTGTATATGTGAAGTGGGGTTGCTGGATCATCTCTTCATTAAGTATTTAAGTGTCCTTTCTTTATTTTCTCCTTACCACATTTGTAAAGCTTGCTATTTATGTCAGATGATAGATTGCTTTATTAATAAATATAAAAAAAAAAGCTCTAACCTGAGCCAAATTGCTATAGATCAGCGTTTTTTAAACTGGGAGCAATTTTCCAAATGACTGCTAAAGTTTTATCTATTTTATGGAATGTAGGGTGTTGGGGAGGCGCCAAATTATTAAATATTTTTAAGGGAGGCGTAGTAACATCAAGTTTGGAAACCACTGCTATAGACAGTAGCGCGTTACCGCATAGACGCAGTAGGCGCGCGCCTAGTGCCTCTTAAATTAAAGGGCCTGAAAACCTTTATAATTTTTTTAGTAGGGTCAATAATGAGGTTGCACCTAGGGCCTCACAAAGACATGATTCGCTACTAACTATAGATCTAATAAAACATAATTTTCTTATTAAAATAATATCACTATTATTCTGTGTTGCAGTTTATCTAATAATATTTTTAAAATATTCCCGATGAAATAATGTTTCTTTAGATCAATTTGTCACAGTATATAACAGACTGTTTGCACCAAGAGCCTACCTGAAAATATTGGGAGCCGCACCTAAAGATTTTTGGTAAAAAAATGTATATTATTTATTAGTTGAGCCACAATAAAACTTTTGAAGAAAGGCAAGACGTTTTTCATCTTCAGTTTGACCACTCGTGTTATATACTTTACATTACTGTAATCTAACTGAGGCACAATAATACTTTTGAAGAGCCGCATGTGAGCCACACTTTGGCCACTCCTGGTATATAAGTACATAAATGATCAAAAACAAATTAAACTGATAACTATTTGTTTTCTAAATACTCTTTGTTTTACAATATTTTGCCGCATTATATATTATTTCATTATCTACTTATCAGACTTATTTAATAAATAATACTATTTTTTCAATAGCGATAGTAATGAAGAGACAGTGTCCATTCGGTTCAAGGGTAGATAAATTGATAAATTAGATAGAATGTCCTATTCCCGTTTAATGTAGGTAAGGTGGAAAGAGACTTTCCTTTTCCAAATGGCATTGCGATCCCCAGTTTTCTGGATGAAGTTGCGCGCGGGGCGCATCCGAGCCGGCACCGGCCCTCTGGCGTCTGCAGCGCCAGTTCGGCAGTTACCTTTTGTTGCCGGTAGTTGCACACTACACTTTGTGCAGTGTCGAAAGAACCGCCGGCACCGTTCCCGAAAAATTGATTTGGCGCTGACAAACCAAAAAAAAAAAATTAAATTAAATTAATTAAAATTACAAAGAAAAAAATATAAATACAATTTAAGAAACCAGAAACGCACGCACTGAAACATCTGATGATAATTATAAATAAGTTAATTTAATAAAGACAGAGGAAATATTTTGGAACTTCTTTTTGCACCGGGATATGCACGGCGGGCTTCTCGAGATTGCAGTGTCGGAAATAATATCGCGAAGCGTATAAAGTAATCCAACTACTCCACTCCAACAAACAACAGTACCTGAATCAACAACAAATTTCGACGAACGACAAAAGTTCGTTTCACTCTCTGCACCTTATCCGGAACATTGCGGGACTTTCCCTAATTGAATTGAGGATTATTAAATAGAGCAATTGCATCCAGTCGAAATGCATTGCTCACGGATTCGTTGAGATTCAGCTTCGCGCTTGCATTCACCCGGCGGTAACTCAACCACTAACAGGTGAGCTGCATGTAATTTAATTGTTCATTGTTTGCTTCATTCCTTTTGTATCACCGCAATTATTATATAATTTACTTTTGTTGTTGTTGTCTGCGTGTGATCTAACTGTGTCCTCGCTGTAGCTGTTGCAATGATTCGCGGTCGACGTTGCGTGCATTTACTCGAATTTAAAGGGCTGCACGGATGCAAGTATTGATCGCGGCGAAACCAGTTTGTGATTGCGGAAAAGCGGACAATGAAATGTTAATTTTTGAATTTGCTTTCGTGAATTCGGATCCCCGTGCAATTGATAGGCTCCCCAATTGCTTGCCAGAGATGGAGGAAGTAAGGGCTCGGAAGGGTTGAACACGAAGCATTGTGTGTGCACGGGGGTGGAGTGGAGCGTATGCAAGCTAGGGAGAGGATTTACATGCATACAGCAGCCAACATTATCGATTTCCCAATGCATTGCTCCAAAAAAAACGGAGCGAACGATTCTGGGTTTTCGCACGATCTATTTTTTTTTTATTTACAGTACATATCGAAGAGCAGCAAATTCTAATGTTAATTTTATCTTATCAAACTTATTATTATGCTTATGCACTTGCTCCATCCATCGAACAAAGAGCATTGTCGGCGGCCCTAAAATGCGATCAATAATAAGGGACCTAATCAGCGTCAGCGTGTACTAAATAAATAGCGCGCTGCGTGCATAAAATTTTCAATTTCACGAATGCGGACTCTTCTAATTAGAATACAATTACGATTCCTGAATATTTTAAGCTCGTTCTTTCTCCTCTTTCATTCTGAATATGTAATTGCAGATTAAGTAACAGTAATTAGATTCATTAATTCAGGCAACGGGATAATACGCACCTCGGATAAATTCATAATTAGAACCATAACCATTAAACGCATTTCTCACATTACGAAAAATAGTTTCAATGTGAATTCTTTTCTAGAAATACAATCACATTAGAAATGTAATAATAATTTAAATTAAATGTATTCCTCTTCATCCTTATTTGAATATTATGTTGTCTACATTGTGTATCTTTTTTACAGCAAATTTATAGTTTTTGAACTTTTACCAACAATTAAATACATCTATAGCAAACAATAATTACAACTAGGAATCAAATAAAATATACAGAAACACAAATATTACTATAATTCTTTTTGTTCTGATTTACGTCTTGATGGAAGTAACTGTGAAAAGCAACAAGTCGTAGATATACGTCTTATTTACACGATTTTATGTGGCATTTTGTGTAACAATAATTTCCATCTTGTAATACATGATTATGAATTATATACTTAGTTTAATTAATTGAATCATGTTGCAATATATGTATAATTCCAATTGATCCAAATTGTTTTTTTTTTAAATTGAAAACTGTAGGTGGATGCGTGGGGGTTTCCATTTACGGATTACTTATATTAATGAACAGTTCTGCTCCAAAGTGCGGATTAACTACAGTCCTGGAAGCACGGAAACGCAAATCGTGTTTGAAGATCCGGAAGATTCATCCCAATGCGAAATCAATACTGTAACATTTCAATATAATTGATATTTTTTAGAATTAGAATTAAATTAATGTTTTTTTGCAATTTAATTTAATTAACGAAATGTTAAATCTTGAAAATAATTAATAATTAATTTTGTGATTGAAAATGTTTTTACTGTCCTTGGAAAGGCATTATACATCCTCCATTTATCTCCGAGTAACACGATATGGGATTCTGCTAATTGATTTCGACGAAGTTGACATTTTTTTTCGTTGTTGTTTAAGTGAATTAATTACAAGTTTCATTTTAATTAAGTTAATCAGAGAATTGGAGATTCTCCGACACGGAACAAAGTAATAAAATCGCCGAAGGACAAATTTCCTCCTCGTCCGTCCGAGAAGGGCAAACCCTGCTTATTATCGACGCGGATTTAATAGGAGGAAGAAAACGTCTTTCTTCTTTCCTTTTCCACCGATGAGACGCAAGGAGAAGACCCGAAATGAATTAAAATTTTATTTTACGACTGACCCGAAATGCCATTCAGAGTGATTGCTTTTTTCTTTTCCTTTTTTGGAACTGAAAATCTGGAACAAAATAGTCGAAATTGCGACATCAAAGAATCTTTCATATATGAAATGACAAATATTAATATCGACCTTTGAGCGAGCCATGTTTTTTTTTGCGGATAGGTCAGTGAATAGAAGAAATCTGTATTTTCTTTCTGTCTTTTTTCTCTCTTTAAATTTATGATAATGTAGAGGTTTAATTTGGCGTGGGAGTTAATTTCCGGATTGGAGTGGTTTCAATTATGGTTGATTGATGAGATCGAATGCAATGGGAATTTAATGAATCCGGCGTACAAAATTTTGCGCGCTCTGCATTCAGGCTTTCAAACAAAGAGTGCTGTTGAATATATATATATGTACGCATATATCTATATGTATAGAGAAGGGTGGACGATCAATACGCTGAGCCCTAATCAACTCATGCATGCAGGACTCCCCCCGAAACTCACACATCTCTAATCTATGAATACGTACACTAGTATACACATATTCCGCATTGCGTGCAAATTAAATTCAATAAATCTGAGGTAAAATCGAAAAATATGATGTTTTCTTTTTTCTTCACTCGAAGCTTGCTTTCATATGATGTTTATAGAAATTGCGTGAGCGTATAAGAGAGGTGGGCGAATGCGGTGTTTATGGAAAGGGCAGATACACTATGAAGAGAATGACGTAGAGCAAGAAAATAACAAGAAATATATCAAAGTAGAGGGAAGGAAAATGCGAAATGCGAGAATGTATATATGTGAATCGTGGAAGGACGATGCGAAGGAGACGCTGACTGGCTGTGGTGGCTCACTCTCTTTCGCTCGCCCCCTGTTTGGAAAACAAAACGACAGAAAAGAAAGGAAGAAAAGTCTGAAACAAATTAAAGAGTGTCCCAGGTTAGGGAAATGTAACCCATTATTTCGTTACCCCCTCAAGTCCATTGTAATCGCGGCACCGTACTTCTTTTTATTTACATACAAATCGATGGATTACATTTTTCAACGTTCAGCCTTTTCTTTTTACCATTATTATTTTCTCATTTCGCTCCAGAAATTTTGTCTTGCATAAAAAAAAATTATTGAACACAAAAACGTTTCTCAATTATTACAATACAAACAAAATCATCTTGTTCACGCTTGCATTTGAAATCAAATAATTAATATAACAATACTTCGCTTCTGCACGCTTGCATTTGAAATCAAATAATTAATATAACAATACTTCAATATACATATTTGTTACCTAATTGAAACTTTCTTCATTTTCTTTCAAATTAAATGGTTTCAATTTAGAGTTTCTACTCTTAATTGTAAAATAGTAAATTATCTTACAAACAAAATCCTCTTCTTCACGCTTGCATTTGAAATCAAATAATTAATATAACAATACTTCAATATACATATTTGTTACCTAATTGAAACTTTCTTCATTTTCTTTCAAATTAAATGGTTTCAATTTAGAGTTTCTACTCTTAATTGTAAAATAGTAAATTATCTTACAAACAAAATCCTCTTCTTCACGCTTGCATTTGAAATCAAATAATTAATATAACAATACTTCAATATACATATTTGTTAGCTAATTGAAACTTTCTTCATTTTCTTTCAAATTAAATGGTTTCAATTTAGATGTTTTACTCTGAATTGTAAAATAGTTTAATTTAATTGAAATTAGATTTTTTTTTGTTTTAACGATTTCTAATGATTTTTGTATGAAAAAAAAGGAAACAAACATTCGGCATAATGAAATCCTTGCGCACAAAGAAACAACGTTGAGAAGGAGGAACGTATAATCAGCCAATTTCATTTTGTACGTTTTTTTTCCCTCTGAGCAAAGCCCACGTCTTCGAAGATAAGATTTAGCATTTGATTTTGTAAGAGGAAAAGGGTTTGAAGCTCGATTTTTCCTCAACGGACGTCGTTTTTTTCTTGGTTCGCTCTTTTCCTTTTCCGACATTATTTTTTTTCTTCTTTCATCCTGCTTTTGGTCTCTTTTCCGTTTAAGGGCGGCCCGAAAATAATTAGTTTCTCGGGCTTCTTCTCAGTTTTCTTGAATTTAATTAAGAAGCAACATTTTTCGCGCCGCGCCAAATTTAATTAAGTTACAAAGCGTAACAACACACGCTTCACTCACGGCCAGAAACAAAGTCTTAGGGCGAAACTTTGATTATCAAAAATTTCCTCGCACCGAAAACAGAACCGCCGCCTCCTGCGTTTCTCTCCCGCTTGCGGCAGCCCCTTGTCGTTAAGTTATAATAAACATGAAGTGAAGTTTTCGACAGTGAAGGACTTCTGGAAGACCGTCATCCAGTCGATCGTCCTTATTTTAGACTCATTTACGTACACACATGAAATTGTAATCTCGGTAATAATTAATTAAGGACAGTTTGGGTTGGGCTCTATTCATTGTCCTTTTATTATCAAGGTCTTTATATATTATTTATTTAAACACTCTATTAGTATCCTTGTATTTACGTAGAAAATAATGCCTAAATAATCAATACATTTGAGCAAAAAGAAATATATTTGCATGTAATATTAATTACACTTAAATTAATTGTAAATCTTGTTAAATTGACTAAAGCTAGCTATTTCATTAAAAGCGCTAGTTTATTGCTCTGAGCAATTAATTTTATATATCACGAACTTCACAGCTACTAAACTAGAATCGCTTGTTGTAAAATCTCTTTCTGCGATTACACGAAAATAAAATCCAATATTCTATATTAAATCGAGAACTATATATCATTTTGTTAACCCTATATAGTAATTACTTTTTACGTCCTTAAAGTAATGGATATATGTATCCTTCACATTAAGCGATAAAAAGTGTATGAAACTAAGTGATCTAATAGATACATACAAGCGTCCCAATTGAATTGAATTTATTTTCAATGAATCCGCACTATGCGAGGTATTGCTGTATTTAAATAAAAAAACTAGAATGTTTGTGATTTGC